AGGTGGGAGGGGAGGTAACTAGCTGCTCATGCTCTGAATACACAGCATTGATGATCACTTTAATTAACAGGGAGTGCAGTAGTTAGCATTACCTGTAGCACCTTGTTCAGCGTCCTGTGTTTAAGATAATGAAGATCAGTAGGAACCTCAAAAGACTACTGGAACTTGCAAAAATTACATAAATGTGACATGATCACGTGTGACTCTTCATGAAAATTTTTATTTGAATTTTTAAAGATTAGAGATCAATTTAAATCCTGACTCATGAGGTTTTTATCTTTCAGCTCTGCACTTTTTTTGTACGAAACAACTGCACTAATTCAGGATATTCTTGGATATTCTTGTTATCCAAGGGCATGTCTAACCCCTGTTTGAATCCTAATAAATTTATCATCAGTAGCATGATTGTTCTATTTATGCAGCACATTAAATATAAATTTTCATAATTTTAATAGGTATTTTTAATTTTTCATTTTTATACATTTAAATTTTATATATTTAAGCTTAGCTGTTTTTATAATCAGTGCATGTTTCTAGTTTACCTACTCTGTTAATAAATATATTTTCTAGTGTTTGAAGCATTTCTCTCCCTTCTGGGGTAAATAATAAAAATCTACCTAGTCTCTTCATACAGTGGGTTTTCATGGCCCTAAATACTTGCTTTCTCTGAACACCTAAATTCCACAGAACCCATTTTTAAGATGGGCTCCCAGCCTTTGCACTGTAATCCATCTGACGTATAGGGTCCAGCTACAAATTTAGTAAAGATTACCCTGTCTGTTATTATTGTTGCAGTCTAACACTTCAGCTTTTCTTGTCATAGATGCCCGTTAAGCAGAAATCTGAAATTATGTCTCTGCAGTAGCCTTTAAGCACCCTTTCCTCCAGCTAAGGAGACAGGTTTATTTGGATTTTTCTGCAGTGTGTGTAGTTCAGTTTCCCTGAATTCTGCAACTGCTTGTGTTTATTCTGTCTTCTGCTGTCATGGTGTGAATTCAGCTGGCACAGTTGGTTATCTTTTGCTGAACTCTTTTTCTCCCAGTCCTGATTTAGCTAAAATAAATTACTGTGTCTCAGCTGAATGTTTTGTTATTTGGCTCTTCACCCCCAGAGTTTCAGATCGTTAGTAATTATGTTATTAATAAAAAGTATTACTAAGTACAATACTGCCTCTTTTGCATTAATAAAGAAAATTATGTATTACATAAGTCATGAGTTAAACTGTCTCTAACCAAGTAGTGTCACCAGCTTTCTTGGCTGGTGTTCAGCCTTCATAGCCAGGACGTTTTAGGCAAGCAGTCTCTGGTTTTCCAACTCTTCTTTTTCCATTAGTTTGGTTTAGAACACTTGGTTCAACTACAGCAATTACTGATCTTTCTCAAAGTGTGTGCGGGGAGGTGTCCTCTCCCAGCAAGATGGAAAGGAGTGGGGAGGCAAGGAGAAATGAGAAGTGTGCTCCCTTTGCTCCCATATGCTGTCCATGCCCTGGACACTTGTTACCCACCAGGACACTTTCAGATCCCCATCTCCAGTTCATAACTCCTGGTGTGGTGGCTGCCCTGGAAATCAGTGCCAGGGTGGGACACTGCAGATGGGGCAGGAGGAGTAAAAGGATGGGGTGGCAGGGTAGGCCTGAGCACCCACAAGAACAGAAAGACAATGGGGTACTGGTCAGCAAAACTTGTCTAGACTAGGGGTATGAGAGCTTAGAAAGGAGGTGGGAAGATTGGCATCTATTTGTATGTGTGGGGAGGTTTCAAACCAAAGATGTTTTCATCTGTTACACTGTAAATTGCATGAACTAATAGGAATTGACAACCTTAATTTCAGCCGTCATAGTCTTACCTGTACACAAAACTTAGTAAGTGGTTTATGTTCTAGGTGCATGTTCTGCACGTCTTGGCAATCTTGATCATACCCAAACATAAATCAGTGCCAGTGTATCTGGAATATGATGCCATGATGCTACAAAATCCGATTCCCCTTTTTTTCTCACAAATTACTGTAAAAGGTAGTAATGAAGATGTTAAAATACAAATACTGTGATGTACAAGTGCAAGTAAATTGAAACAAATCCAGGAGTACTTAGAACCTGCAAATATCACGAGGCAGAGAGCTTGTCCAAAAACTACAAGTTGTTGGAAGCTCACTTGAAGTGCACGTGTCAAGATACAAGTCTTGCAGGCGGCTTCCTGCATTGCTTGGTGCTTACAATATATAATGAATAAGTTTCTTTAGGTGTTTGCAATTCACATTAAGAATTTGGTTTCTGAAATGGTGGTGTAGAGGAGGGAGTATCTCAAACGGTTAATCCTTTTGGTCATTACAAATGCAAAAGATTATGCAGGTGTAGAAGCCAAGCTTGTAAAACCAGACGTCCTTTGCTGAATAAAATGTGAGAGGATTGGAAATTCTTCCTAGGAAAACACTGCATTTATCAACAGGAATTTGGCAACACATCTGCCTTTGTGAACATTCCTAAACACCTGATTCAGGAGACTCCTCACCTGCACATTTCATCTATTCCTAATCCCATTTATGTAGCAATTGGCTCCATGATGGAGTTACAGTTTCTATCAGGGAACAAAAGCATTATTAGCTTAGGTAATGTAGAATCTGTAGCTGGAAAGTTCTTTTTTAAAGTTCTTTTCAGATACTTGGATGTGAGATGTTGCTGATGTAAAAGATCTACTCCTGAAATGGTTCTGATGCAGCAGTCTTGGCTGGAGTCACAATGGTACACGCACAGAATTGGGAAAAATTTGTTGATTTGCTTATCTTGGACAGACTGTCTGAAATGGTGAAAATCAAAGGGAAACCTTCAGTAGTCTGGGTTGGAATTTGCAGTTTTGAAAATGGAGAATACCCAAAAAAAGGAAAAAGGGCATATAACATGGAGGACTAAGATTGTTAAAATATAGCTCATGTTAAAGTTAGGATAGAAAACCACTTGAACTGTTGTCATTAAGTCTTTAAGAACTGTTTGGTAATGTGTATTACAAAGAGTAAGAGTGCATGGGTTAACTTTTGTGCTATTTGGATGATGAAATTCAACATGGGGAAGGCTTGGTACTGTAGGAAAGAATGGGATTAGTGTATTTGCATGGACACAAGCTATTCTTGTGTAAATTATTAAGCATTTACAATTAATTTCTTTCACAACCACTTTACAAACATATATGTATAGGTAAAGTATTATTTATCTCTGAGCATTTGTCAGACTGATACTTTGTTTATGTGGCACAGAAATCATGGCAACAGAAAGAGGCATAACAAAATTCCAGTGCTTAGAATAATTTAATTTGCTTTTCAAAAAAACTTGTGTGTTTTCTTTCATTGTTTGTTTTTAAGGAAAATCAGGTTTAATTCTTCTCCTTCTTTTGATTTCTCAAGAGTTTCTAAACTGATGTTGGATTAAATATTTGATACTTAAACTTTTCAGTGTTCACACACATACACCAAAGCTCACTTGAACAGTCACTTTGAATACTAAATATACAGATTTTTATTTGTATACATTGATTAGCTTTCTTTTGATGTAGGATGCTGCTACTACTTTGAAACGCTGTTTTATCTTTGTTGATTAGCAATCATTTACTGTAAGACAGACATTTCATATTATACTCAGGGCTGAGGTGTGACTGTACTGATTTAGGCAGTATAAAGGATGTTCTCTTTCCTGTAATACTGAAGCATAGATTGCATGGAAATGGAAGTACCCCTGACTTTGTGTTTGAGATGAAATGTCTTGAGTGCAGACATGGTGCCACCACCTGTGTTGACACTTTTAAGTCTTTTCCTCGGTGGGGCCAGTAAAGCTGAGAGGGGCATTTCTGCTTCTTTTCATCTTTCTTCTGGTCTGAGCGTCCTCTGCCTCCAGGCCCTTTCCCAAAGCAGAAATGCTCTACCAGTTGTTTTGCACCAGCTCTGAAGAGAGGTGTGCTGCCTTAGGATAGGCAGAGGCCTGAGCAGGTTGGGCAGCACAGGGTGGTACACAGAATTAGGGTTGTGGCTATGGAGGTAATACTCATTCTTGATATGTGGAGTTCTGTATATTACAGTGGTATTGCTATATCACGATTGGGAACATTTCCTTGTATTTTGAAGGCGTTTTTTATGTCAAAAACTTCTATATAAGTAGTTAAAGAAGAACTGAAAAGTGATGTTCACAGATCAGTGCAGAATTTTAACATTCATTGCACTCTGCCTACATGCTGGGATTTTGAAGTTATGCAACCTCTTTTTATAGAGTTTTGTGTTCTGGTGATCTAGGTTTGCTGAGTTACTGCTTAGAAATTATAAGCGTATTAGGAGCTATACATGATCCAGAACTTAGGTCATTGCAAACTACTGTGTACCTCTGCAGATTAAAGCATTTGCAGTAAGATTCGAGTAGAAATGGCTTCCATCTGTGTGTATACTGACTTTAAAACTACGGGGTAGAAAAGGCTGAGTTGCTGTGACATAGAGCCACACACACCCTGGTAAAGAGCTTGCATGGAGATGTTGCATACTTAGTTCAGAAGGAAAGAAGACTGAAAACTGAGTGCCCAGCACAGCAGCAATTGCTGTTGGTTACCTGCAGACAGCAGCTGGGGGGAGAGGGAGGGCTGTAGCACAACTATTGTCACCTTGGCACTGAGGGCGTGCCCTTCCTGACACGCTGCAGGTCGTTATTCCAAATTGCAGAGGTGCTAGGTCATCACAGTGCCATTGCTCAAGCAGTTCTCTTACGATGAGCAAAACGCATTTTTTCTGATCTCGTGGTTGGAGGAGACTGGACCTGTTTTTCAGAAACATTACACACAGAAAAATCAACCTGAGGCAGACACGTGGCATGAAAAATATTTGCCTCAATGCTAACAGTTTGGCAACATTTAATAAGCAAATTAAAACAGCGTGTAGTAATGGGAATTCAGCTGCAGTGATTGCTACCAGATCCACCAAGAATAATGGACTTGCATACCAACCCAGACTTACGACAAATATTGTGATTGTAGGTAACTAAATGACCATGGAATCTGGAGCAGAGAACCAGCAGAGTGGAGATGCAGCCGGTACAGAGGCAGAAACCCAACAGATGACAGTACAGGCACAACCACAGATTGCAACGTTAGCCCAGGTATAAAAATCATATGGTGTAATAGTTTTACCTATTGGATAATATTTTTAAAAGGGATAATGTCTGCTCACGGGCCTGAGAAAAGATTCCTTTGATACCATTCTGAAACAAGTGTGATGTATAGTTCCTTTAATATTTGTCTTCATATTTTTAAAACAGTAGAGATTTTTAACTTCCCATCACACTAGGCTGTGTTAATTCTGAAGAACTGAGTATGTGTAAATTCTTTAATGTTAACACAATAATTTAATGAAAATACTTCTAGCATTCTTTACCACAGCCATTTCACTGAAAGGTGTTTTTTTCAATTCATGTAATTTACTGTCTTTTTTATAGTGACTGGATTGTCTTGCTGTTATGTTTTCTGTTAAAAGCTTGGCTATAGTACTGAGTTTAATTCTGAAGAAAACAAACTGAAAATATAGATAAATAATGTAACAAGTACAACATCTTATCAGATAAGATTAATATTATAAGCATTATAATAAAGTGAAGCAACCTGGCATTTGACAGCTCATGTTATCCTGTTGTCTCCAGAATTTTACGGAACTGTTGGCTATTTAGAGGGACAAAAGTAGATCATTTGTTATCCCCAGCTTATTTTGGAGAGACAAGAAATGCAATCCCAGCTACATCTCTGATTTTGAAACCTGGTTTCATTTGTGGATACACTGATGGTTGGCAGAAGCAACTCCATTGTTTAAATGAGTGCAAAATCTGTTTGGCTCTTCTCTGTAACCATTTAATTTTAAAACTATTTGTAGCCTGCAAAGAACAAACAGGTGTTTTAGATCTCATAGTTGCAGAATAGAGTGTCTTTAAGTGGCATAAGTGTTAAATCACTTATCATTTTAAAAATGATTAGTGTCTTTTTAAAGGTATTACACCTTTTGGTAAACCAGAGATTTCCATTCAAGTGACAGTGTAGGGATTGGGGCTGTTAAAATGCACAGAGTGATTTTGTTGGGTGAAGCTGTAGTGTGAATTTACAAGCCACCAGCTGCCCTGCACCAGCTTGCCTCTTTGGGCAGTTTTCTCACCGTCTAACTTAGGCACAGGATGTAGGTGGTGTGAATAACACTTCAGTGTGAACTGAGTGGAAGTAATTTATTTCTTTTGCAAAACCAGTAAACTGCTTCTCATTTGATACGCTTTGAGTCCAGAAAAGTAAGAATGTTTTAAATTTGTGTGCTAACATACTAACCTCCAGGGAGCTGAACTTACAAGTATGTAGTGGCTTGAATGCACTTTACTCGGAAAAAATTACCCTGGTACTTGAATGAGAATTTTTTCCAAGTAAGAAAAAGCTATACAAGTATGGTTAAAATCCACGTGAACCACCGTGTTGTCATTCACTGTACTGTTTGCACCTTGGTGTCTCCCCAGTTGTTTGTGGAGGTGATCCAACAATCTAAACATAATTCCTTGTGTTGTTCACATCAGTGTTACATTATTATATTTTTAATATGTGAAATGGAAGTGTTTGGCATTAGGGAGTGCCCTCAGAGGCTTAGCCAAATCTAAATATGTATAATTATGTCAATTTAATTCCTTCATTATCTCTTGTAAGGTCACCCCTCTTGCAAGCTTAGTTTAATTGCTGCATTTTTAGTGAGTTCAGGGTAGTTTTCAGAGTCAAAAGGAAACTCGTCCCAGTTCCACAAGGTATGAGTCAGAGACATCTGCGGAAGTTACACTCTGCTGTGGGCTTAATCCAACCACACTGGCCTCCAGTTGATCAGCTTTGCCAAGGACTGTTTAGTCAGACAAGCTTTATTAAAAAGGTCGCTTGGTAAAGGAATATAATTTGCCAGAGGAAAGCGCTGATGTTAATCTCAGCCCTGGTTTCTCTCAGATGTGAGTTAAGTACCACGGTGTAATGCTGCAGCTGTTTTCCTGAAAAAAGAAGGTAAAAGCAAACGAAAATTGGTGGATTAGGGAGAGACATCTGTGGAGGAGAGAGGTCTACATGTAATTCCCTTTAATTTTGTTGTTAAACAAAATTTTATTTTAAGTGGTGAATGTTTATGGAAATTCAGAGATCAGCTATTGCAGTTTTTTGAGAACCACGTGTTCATGGGGACAGCAGAGGATTTCCATCTCATCCGGTACATAGCAGCTATGCCTTTAAGATTAGGTAGGACAGGAGTGCAGCTCCTTCTAGGACTGGAGCTACAGGGATTAAATGTTTTTAAAATGCTGTTGAACCCTGGAGGATTGTTAAATTTTCCGAACTTGGGTGTCTAGAAGAAGGCTGGCTAGTCAGTGACCCATGACCTGGCTGGCTCCTGCCAGAGCAGCTCCCACTTGCCTGCAGTCCTTCCCTGAGGGCTGTGATGTGTGAGGGTGCAGCCCTGGCACCCTCCTGTCCTTCAGGAGCCCCCAGCCCTGAACACGTGCACTGTGGCAGCAGGCAGTTGCTCAGTACTGGATGTGCTCCGGGGCAGTGGTCCAGCCACGCAGCAGCCTTGGTGCTTGGCACTCCAGCTGCCCGTGATGGTTCTTGTGACCTGACAGAGTGAGACTTGAACAGCTTTGTGTGGGTACCGCTGTGCTTGGAGCCCAAGCCCCTGCGCAGGACGTGCTCACCTACCATGCTGAAGTCATTGGTGGATCCCTGTTGGCAGAGCTGCTGTGCCTACAGGTCTGTGCTGGAGAAACACAGTTGTGTTCAAGAACTGAGAGTTTAAAACCTGGACAATTCTTCCTCAGACTCTTAAAACTAGAGTTTGTGTTGATCTGTTGCACTGAATCACAATAGTTGCCTACGAAATACTTCTTTCCACTGCAAACTCACGAGCTTTCTGTCTGAACACATGGTCTCTTTTCTTCATTTAAATGGACTTTACCAGCTACTCAATAGAGTTTAGTCTGTTGAAAGTCTGAAAGGTATGGTTCCCTAAAAATTTTAACTTCTGACATCTGACAGACACTTCTCATTTTCTTGAAGGAGAACTTAAATAGCTCCACTCCCATATGTTTCTGCCTTTGACTCAGCAGTGTCTGTAGGAGTACACCCAAGTCCTAGCAGTATTCAGCTGAAGTAAGTGAAAGGTAATAATGTGTTTGTTTCAGGTAACCTGAAGATAGAAGCCAGTTGTCAGTGATTTTACAAATGATGTTTTAAGCCTGCAAAAATTCTGCATTGGATTAATTTGTAAAGTAGGTCAGGTGTTGGGCTTAGGCAGTTCAGGGGGTTTTATATTATGCCGAAACATTTGGGTCATCTAACTGGGGTCTAGAAGAGACAGTTTTTCACCAGAACATGTGCTGAAATAAGGAGATTTTGCAATAACCTAATTTATGCTCACTGTCTCCTCTTTGCAGGTATCTATGCCAGCAGCTCACGCAACGTCTTCTGCGCCCACAGTGACCTTAGTTCAGCTGCCCAATGGGCAGACAGTTCAAGTGCATGGAGTAATTCAGGCTGCCCAGCCATCAGTTATTCAGTCTCCACAGGTCCAGACAGTTCAGGTACTGACTGAAGAAATTCCTAACATGTGAATTGGGCCTTTGGAATAGTCCTGTCATTGCACCGGTTTCAAGTGTGTTTGTGTCTTTGATTATATAAAATTTAAGAGCATGTTGAAGGCAAAATCTATACAGTTTTTGCTGCTCTGTGACTTTTTTCCTGTTCTAGTTTAACTACTTTTCACTGTCAAACATTACTGAGTTTCATTTACCTGTAGAATTTGGTGAGTTTAACAGCTTCATGTTTTTTCTTATGGTATTACTCTGCTTTTTCTCTCTATTGTATTTTCATACAGCTTTATTGAGCAAGAGTTCATATTATTCTGAAGTGAACAACAGGGTGGCTTTTTTTTTTATAATGTAATCTTTAATCATTAATAAGGCTGTTACTCTGGAATGAGAGTCTTTGCTACACAGAAAATATTTGCATTGGTCTACAAAATGGATGTCTGTATGTTAATGATGCTTAAAATACACCTATCAGTCCTTACATAGAACTGGTTTTGAAATGTGCCTGTTAAGTGTTTTGTGCTTTGTAAAGCCTTTCTCCTCTGGAAAGCAAGGCAGGTAATGCAAAGTGATGAAGTAGCTTGAAGACATAGGAGACAAGTAGTCTGAAATCTTTAAAATCTCTAACTTTCTTTTTAACCACTTGAAGCTCAGTGTTACTGAGTGCAGAAATCAGTTGGCATACAGCAGCTCCACAGGGCAAGGACTGTACAGTATTCATTTGCTATTAGTACACTGAGCTCAAAAATGATTAATTTTAAAGAGTAGACATTGTGACTTTTTGATACAGGTATTCAGCTGGGTATTATTTGAAAAAATAAGGCATGCATAATTTAAAGCTAGGCTATTCTGATAATAATCTTTGTTTTTCCTTATCAGCTTCAGTGCTGAGTTTTTGGCAGGCTCTACCCTCCTCAGCCATTGCAGTCAAAAGTTTAGAGTTCTAATCTATCAGAGGTGAGCAGTTTTCAGATAAGTGCAAATGTTACTAGCCCAGAGGTGGAAGATAAGAGACTGACAGTGAAACCATGCTTGGAATTCACCTGGTTCAATGCAAATCTAGCATGTTTTGACACTCAAAGTCCAGTAGTTCACAGTCAGCCTTGGACCTGTTCAGGCCCTCTACCTGATAACAGTGAGATGTGGGTGCCAGCAGGATTTTTGAGCCTCTAGGAATCTTCTGTACAGTGCATAAAATGTCAGGCTGTGAGCTCTGTTTCTCACACAAGCATCACTAGCTTTGTCATATGACTGTGGTCTTTTGGAGAACAGTATCTGCTTTTAGGTATTGGAGGTGGTTTTATACTTTTGGCACACTTCAAACTTAGAATTATATAAATATGATTGATACAAAACATTTTAGCTTTCCTGCATAAACATTTCTCTTTTTTTAGCAAAGATGTTCAGAATTGCACCACTACTTAATTTTTTAGCATCTTCGAGTATATTTTCCTGACAATTTCCCCCAAAAGGCAGTCTTTCTCTAACATATCTACCCCATTATTTATAATTTACAGTTATCTACTTTAGTATTTGTTTCCAAACATTTCTGCTACCTTAATTTGATTTTAGTTATTATCTCCCGAAGTTTTACTAAAAAATCTTTATTTCCTTACAACGGATGGAAACAAAGAATCATGGAAGGCAAAAAATGTATAGTATTACTGTTTCTATTTTCTTATTGGAGTATTTAAATTATAAAGGACATTCTCATGGGTAGATGACTGACTGTAGTCATCCTTTACTGAATCTGTCCTTTATGTTCATTGCCTAGATAGAAGCACCGTAGGATTACTTGCATTGTTGTGTTTTTCACAGGATGTCAAGATTTCCTTAAAATAAAGACATTGGAAGTGTCTTGTTAAATTTGATTGCTATTCTTATTTGCAGATCTCCACTATAGCAGAAAGTGAAGATTCACAGGAATCAGTAGACAGTGTCACAGACTCACAGAAGCGAAGAGAAATTCTTTCCAGACGACCCTCCTACAGGTACAGAGGTTAAAGCAAAAGCATTTTGCTTGATGGATGTGTTCTCGTGGGGAGACAAACAGTGTGATTGTATAACTATTTTTAGATTTACCATTTAACTGAAATCTCTCTTCTGCAATGTCTTGGAATTGGAATATGGAATATGTCCATGAAGTAGGATGCAAAGAGATAAGCAGATAGAAGGAGGAGGAAGAAACCTCAGCTGTTACACTCAGTTAAGACAGAAGTGAGCTGAGAATAGGCTAATTGCCACATTTGGGGAACATTGAAGTATCATTGTGCTAGGTGCCTTAGAGATAGCTTTAATGAGTACTTTATACGTGAAATACACCAAAGCTTTGCAAAAAGCAGCTTCTGTATAATCTCTAGTCTGCAGAAAATCAACTCTACTGTTTTTCATTATTGTTGAAGTGCCAGCAGCAGTCAAACTTAATTCCTTTCTCCCATGAGACTTTCAATGAACATGTGGTGTTCTGTGGCTCAGAGAGAATTTCTGCTTGAGCAAAACTGTTTGTGTTTAAAGTTTAAGAAGTCAGGGTATGAGTCGAATGTAGTGATAGGCATCTAGTGTCTTTAGTTATCATGGCAAATACATCTGCAGCAAAACCAACGGAAGTGCTCCTTCACATGGTGTTAGTCATATGTTACTTTATTAATTAAGTCTTTGCACAGCTTTTTGGGTCTGTTTTCATTCTTAAAATATGCTAAGTAGCATTAAGGAACAGCTCTGGAGTTCAGTAGGTTTTAAGTGACCTGTGGATTCTTACTGCTTCAGAAAACTCAGATGCTCCTTTTTTCTTTCTGAGCATAGCCTTAGAAAGTACAAGCTAGGCTCTAGGCCTAAGCATATCTCAACCATTATATTTTTTTAGCACTTGGAGATTATTTTCTGTCTTCTCTGGCTGCCTTCAAGGCTGTTCTGCTGAAGGTAGTGAAAATAATTACTGAAGATCCCTAACAGTGATAGATCTGCGAAAATATTTTTGTTTGTGAGGACCAGTGTTGCTAACTTCAAGGCTGCCATAGACTCCTTGCAGTCGCTGCTGCAGGGAGACACTTGTTTTTACTATATATGGAAGAGTGGCTGGATACAGCAAGACAACAGAGCTAAGTAAACAAGCAGCAAAACTGAGAAGAGGGTACTTGTGCATGCTGACTTCTCATTGAGATGGACTCCTTTGCATGCACTGATACCACAGCACAGCCTTTGTCTTCCGGCCAGATCCTGGTGATCAGCAAAACTTTGTAACTCTAATATTTGTATCTACAGCTCGGACTCTGGGCTGGTGTAGGTCATGTCAGAAAGGCTGATCCAGATCACTGCTGTGTTCAGTGACTTCCCAGCTGGCCCTAGGGACAAGATAGGTGCAGATACGCTCACAGAATTGAAAGCTGTATATACTTCTTCCTCAGAAACTTCACTGTGATTCTGCTGCTAAAGTACATCATGTGTTCCCCATGTCAGTTCACAGTTGCTATATTTGTAAAGCAACCACCTTACCATTTATCTAAATCCATTTTTGTGATGGCAAAGGTAGGTTTTAACCACCAGGTCATATGACATGAGCTTAAAGAGAAATTTTTTATCATTTTGGGGTTTGTTTCTCATCATCCCTGCTTTCTCCATATTTCTTCATCTGTTTCATACACCAGATTCTCTGGTCTAACATCTAGATAGCAAACTCTTCTGGATGGGAATTTTTTATTTGTCCAAGTGGTGCTTGGCACAGTGGAGTCCTTGTGCAGTGCTGGGGTTCTTGTATGTACACAGAGTCCAAGCAGCAACAAGCAAAGCTCTGTCAAGCTGCTTAGCAGAATACTGCTCTACCCAGATAGCCCCATACAGATATTCTGGCTCCCACAGCTTTAGAAGCCACATATAACAAATTAGTGTTGTCTTGGAACTTGGGATCTACAGCTGTGTTTGCTTTATCCTACAGTGAGTTCCAATGACAATCCACTGGAAAACATATGAGGAGCATTGCAAAGAATATTGCCCTTTACCTAAGCAGCAATTTTGCAGTGACATAATAGACTATGCTAGCAGTGAAGAGGGCTTGACAGTCCTCTGAGGAGCGACAGTGTCTGATCTCAGTGATGCAAATTGCAGTAACTGCTGTGGTCAGCATACAGTCACGTTCAAGAGGGCCTGTAACAGTGATGTTTTAGCAGTTTTGGCTTTGGGTAATTAACTCTTGGAAGTAATTAAACAGAATTTTCTTTCTTTTACCCGTGCTAATCTAAGAACTTTCTCAGGCAGGACACCTGTGAATATAACTGTGTGACTGGGTATTGTCTCCCAGGCAGGTGTTATTATGAACTGGTTGCTCTCTACAGGCATTTTGGTGCCTTCCTTTGTACTCAACTCCCTGGCTGAGGCACTTATGGTCTCTAAAACGGAGCAGTTCTCCTAATAAAAGTGAGGACACAGGTTTTTATGTATTTTTGCTTTCTTTAGATCTTTATGTAGATAAAATCAGGAAACAAGTAAAAATGGGTGAGGGAAATATATTTTTAAGAAAAAGGTAAGGTGGTAATAACTGTGTCTTGGGTTTTGAGAAGCGCAGCTGTTCTGTGCTGGCTCCCTTGCCCATCTGTGCTTGGCACTTTGAAAAATCCTCTCCAATAAGAGTTTGAAGATAGTGTGGTTTTCGTTCTGCACCCATGTTTTCCTTGGTGGCTTACTGCACATTACAGCTTTCTCCAGCATTGTGTATCAATGAGAATATTTTTTTCTCCAATTTTTATTAAAATCTCTACAACACACTGTCTTTGCCAGAAAAATTTTGAATGACTTGTCCTCAGACGCCCCAGGAGTGCCAAGGATTGAAGAAGAAAAGTCTGAAGAGGAAACAGCAGCACCTGCCATCGCCACTGTTACGGTGCCAACTCCCATTTACCAAACCAGCAGTGGGCAGTACAGTATGTAGTCTGAATTTCTCAGTGGTGCTAGTAAGTGGGGATGAGAAGATGAAGAACTATCATTTCTATAACTGTTTGGACTAGGAAAAAGCAGGAGGTGAAAAAAAGATAACTTTATTTTGACTGATAACCGTGCCTTTTAAACACATCCCTGTTGTAAGTATTTGAAAGGTTCAGTTAACATTTTGGGACTGTTTGCCACTTGGTGCAGCTAATGCATCCTGAGGCAAAATAGGAACTAACCATAATGCTATTATAAACTTCTTCACTTTGGGAACTAGATGAGCTAATTCAGAAGTTTCTTTTTTTTCTTTGCAGATTCTTAATACTTGTTCACAAAAATGTAACCTCAGTAATAGAAATGACATTACAGTCAGCAATTACATTTTTTAGAAAGTCATGAAAAAATAAGAACTTCAACAACCTTATTTGAAATACGTAATAAACATATGTTTCTATGTTTTCTTTATTCACTGGATTTAATAGAGATAGTGCTTTGACTTAAAGAGTTGAGGATACATCAGTAAAGACAGAAGTCACATGCTGTCTCACACAAACACCTGCAGTATTAAATATACAAAAGGGAGGAAGAACTACTTGCTTCCATCTTTCTCTTAAAATAGCTTTAAATTTTTTGATATCTGTTTACTGCTTTGCCACTTTGCCTAGTACCCTCCTTTATTTTATTGAAATGGATGTGGTTAATTCTGGATCCTATTATAAATGTAATAGTTACAGTTAATTGTGCAGACACTTGAGATTTTGGGGGGGGGGGTATATAGGAATACAGTGAAATTCTGTGGAATCACAAATGAGGGGTGATGTCCCAGTATACCTCTATGATAGGATTGAGGAAAAGAAAGGAAAAAAAACCCAGCAAAGTAAGGCTGCTTGAAGGAAACTGGACCTTTTTGAATGAAAAAACTGCTAGGGAGGGTCTGAGGAGTTTGTAGAGAAGGGGGCATACAATCAGAAGAAAAAAATTGCCAAAGCAAGAAGAAAGCAAAATACAAGATGGATAGCAATAGCAGCAGAGGAGACAAAAGGGCGTAAACCGTGGAAGAGGAGAGGAATTTCAGATGAGAAAAGTAAGGAGTGAGAAAAAGACCTAAATCAACCAAGAAGAAAATCTTAACTAAAAAATTAAAAAGTATTCCCTGGGGGAGGATTGTAAGCTCATAAAAAATTGGAAACTTTCTTCCAAAGCATGATTTTTTTAATGTACATTAAAGCCATGTGTGTGATTTCAGGGTGCATAAGTGTTCAAGGGATTTAACTCAGATGACTATTCTTCCATATCTAGGGTTAATACTGTAAGTTAATGCGTGAATTAGTGTCTTAAATGGTGTGTTGATTTTTTGTCTGCAGTTGCTATTACCCAAGGAGGAGCAATACAGTTGTCTAACAATGGCACAGATGGAGTACAAGGTCTCCAGACGTTGACAATGACCAATGCAGCTGCAACCCAACCTGGCACCACCATTCTACAATATGCACAGACCACAGACGGACAACAGATACTTGTACCCAGCAACCAGGTTGTTGTACAAGGTGAGAGACTTCACAGCCAGACATTCCGTATAATATTTTCTCCATGCAGACACAAGTTGCCAACCTAACTCCTTCAAATGTGTCAGGAAACAGATTTAACAGCTTTGACGTGATAAGTCTCCAAAGTTATTAAAGGAAATTCTGAACAAAGCTATTTGTCACATTTTCTTGGAGCCCTTCCCTTTAGATTGATAAAATTGTAGATATTTTGGGTTTACTTCTTATAACAGTATATTTATTTTGGGGTTTCCACACTATATTTCCTGTATTTTTTCATATTCTGTTCTGCAAAAACTGATAGAGCTCTGAGTTCTCCCATATCTGCAGCAATAGGAAATTTAAAGTAAAGCATTAAAGATAGGAAGGTTGTTTGATTCTAAACTTTAATTTATTAGTAATTTTTTTCCATTTTCAATTACAAGTCATAATTTCTTCCTATTGTGACTTTCGTAATTAGTCACCAAGTAGTTAATCAGTGAGTTCTTGGAATCATAGAACAATTCAGAAAAGTGCCTTGAGTGATCATTTGGTCTAGGCCTCCATTTGCCAGGGCTACTTTAACTTATATTAAGTTGTGGGGTTTTACTGTATTAAAATATATGATTTGATTAAAAACAGTAGAGGTATTAAAATTTTTTAATTGAAAATAACAGAGGAAGTGTAACCCTGCTTTTATGATTGTAAAGCAGTTGATTTGAAAGTTTTCCAGTGAAGAGTTTTCCAGGCATCAGTGAAAAATGCTATTGTTGCATTGATCTTCTGGGTTCTGTGTTTTTAAGACACGTGATTTCTTTAGGTGGTATTGTGTTTTTTTATGAGCTCAGGCAAAATTAACACTTTCCCAAATTACAATAAACAAAAAAAAAAGAGAGAAGCCCAAGACCTTATTTGTTCTAGAGAAGTAGTGAAATTGAGTGCATTCAACTCTGTTGGGAGTAAATGCTACATTCCACACCCTTTTTTCTGTGCCAAATACTTACATATGCAGTTTCTCCTTTTGCAGATAGACGTTTATAGCATAGCTAGAAATAGTGTTTACCCCATTCTTCACTGGAACTTCCTGAAAACCAGAGAAGTAAAAAGAAACACACTAAAGGAGCTATACAGCCAGACAAAGCAAGTTATCAAGCACAAGTGAGGGCTGCTTCAGCAGGAATGCCCAAAACCTTGCCTATGTCAATAAGCTAAGACTGAGGCAGCAGTGGTGACCCAGATGGTGGCCACCCCACCATGCTGTGGCCCAGAGTGCTCGGTTGGATCCATGACGAGGTGCTGTTTGCACCACATGTGACAGTGCTGTCACCAGACTGACATCATGTTACCCTGCGTCTCTTCAGCTGCCTCAGGAGACGTGCAGACCTACCAGATCCGCACCGCCCCTACCAGCACCATCGCACCCGGCGTGGTCATGGCATCCTCCCCAGCCCTCCCGACCCAGCCGGCAGAGGAGGCCGCACGGAAGAGAGAAGTGCGCCTAATGAAGAACAGGCACGTACCTTTAGATCACTTCCTTTTTTCCAGTCAGCTCTGCATAGAACTTGAGTGTCAAGCTCTGAGAGTCCTGATCTTTCCTAGTCAAATCATTTCTGAAGAATTGGTGTTTATTTAAAGATGCAAAGCAAAGAAACACACATCAGCTAATGCCGTGTGTTGTGACTATGAAACCTTGAGTAAAGGTCTCAGACTCATTCTGTGAGGTGTGTGAATTTGTTTGCTGCCAGAGGAAAATGTTATTAGTGAGAGACCTGTACAACTGCAGATATATGTCCTTACAAACACCAAGGTGAGTTGACTTTTTTTAGTTTATATGTTAATGTAGTTTCCTTTACAGGATTCTTTCCTTTAGCCTTCTGTGTGCATTCTCCTTGCTGCTGGTCCACCTGTACTCTTCATGAGTGTTTTCTTGATGGTCTCACTTGTTCTCTTTAGCTCTTGCCCTTTGGGTTTTCTCCTCCAAGGCCAGAAAGGCTCAAGGAAAGGCTAAACAAGCAGCTACTCCTTTTGATTGAAGTCTTGTGGAGCCAGTAGTGCAGCAGAGGAGCTGAAAGAGAGAGAGAGAGACTTGCTTCTGTAGCATTTAATGTGTGAGGAGGAACAGCTAAGCTTATAGGGCTGGGAGTTGGTGGAAGTAGCAAAGGAAGGGAGCAGTAGAGAGAAGTTGGGCATGATGCTCCTTAGGCCTGCTGTTACAGGACAGGGAAGGGGTGGGCCTGAGCTGAGCCAGCACAGCAAGCTTGAACTCTTATCCGCAGGGCACGGATTTGAGCCTGTATGTTACCCTGTGACACTGCGAACATAGTGCTTCCCTCCCTTCCCCTGAGGAGGGGAAGCCCATGCAAGCCTTGTAAACTTCATCTGTCAGACTTAAAAAAAACTGTGACGTTGTTCAGGTTCGGTGGATTGCTGTGCTGTGAACACAACAGAAACTTGCATGAGCAGCCCCAGTGCGGGGCTTTAATGAAGTAAATAATGCTGAACAGCAGAGTTCACTTTTTAAAAGGTTTTTGTACAGATACTGATAGCAGTGAATAGTAGATATCACCCTTTCAGGCTCTGCATTTGAGAAAAATTTAATTAGATTCACAGAATATCCTCATTTAGTCAGCAGTCTTAACTCCATTAAAAGAAAGCTTTTGTGTTTGTGAAAGCCAAGAAAAACAATGGGGAATTACCCCACTTGAGTTAAATTGACAGCTTTTGCAACAGTATCATGTTGCATATGGTGCTTTTAGCCTGCCTGCTTAATAGATCCGTGCAAATCTAGGCTCCATAGCAAAGCAGGGAAAAGGGATAGAGAGGCAGATGGTGAGGTGGCACTTACTGGAGGATTATAGTGTAAATATTCATAGATATTATTGTGCAAATTTTCTGTATAAATTTTACATTTTTAAAGCTCTCTTGTAATTCATTATAACTCTGGCTGTTCCTAATGAACCACACAGCCTTGAGGTGGCTTAATATGCAGCCTAAGCTGGCACAAAAATCACAAAAAGAAAGAAAATGTTGTCACCCAAGGAGACATGTTAGTAGTTTGCACTGGAAGGCAATTCCTGATACCGTAGTACTTAACCTTTTGGTAACAGCCCAAAATTACTTAAATTCTAAATAGTACACATGACCTACTGAAGCACTGCAAGCATATGAAATTGTATTTGTAGGAGTGACAGATGGATACCTGAATACTTTCAAGGCTTACAAACTGTGTTTTCTTCATCCTGTCACATTCGTGGAGCTGAATTTCAAAAATTGCTTTAGAAGTTTCTTACCAGTTAGGTCCTGGAACACATTCTTTTTACCTGCTACTACCTAGTACTACAGCTACTGTTTATATCATAAGGGGAAGAACTGGGTTCAGTTTTGTCCTCTCATTTCCCAGAACACCGACTGTATCACCAGTCTGTGTAATGTTTGCAATGAAGGATCGCACTGACTCTGTTTTTGAAGCTGTTCTGCTTTGCACCTAAAGGTTCAGGGCAAACAAGTGTGTACATTTCCATGTGTAGCTGTGTGCTGCTTGGACAAGTAGCACTGCAGGGGGAGAGCCCTCTGTCTGGGCTCCCATCTGCCCATGGCATTTAGCCTTGTGCTTGCTCTGCACGTTTATTTACTGTGGTTGTGCAGGATAGCTTCTGCCTTGGTGTTCCTGCCTTCAGGATGCTCAGCAGCACATTAATACCTTTCAGCTGTTTTTCACTGGTGTTCTTACTATGTTATCAAATCACCTACAGGCAACTCAGTCTTTACAAGCAAGGCTTAAAAGTTTGACATTACCACTGCCATGTTCTTGGCACAACCAACAAGGACTAAAGAATGATATGGTTCCTAGTGACTGTTTATTTTGTGATATTTTTATTTGAGTCTTTTATATTACCACTGCAATGATGCAGACATTATTATTAAAATGAAATCATTGCTCAAGAGCAAATACATAAATGTTCTAAATAGAGTGCTCCAGTTGAACATCCTGTTGGACTACAGCAAAGGGAAGAGTTAAAGACTGTAAAAAGAATAACAGGTGATAATAAAATCAATTAAATTATTGCAGCAGCAATTCGACTAGCCTAAAGGCTCTAATGTAAATCCTGCAAGCAGAATGTTGTCATTGAGGATCCTTTTCACACAGAAACAGAATTTTATTGGTGCTGTCTCCCTGGGATCTGCACGATGGAATGATATGTGGAGCTTGATTGTACAGGATTTGTGAGGAGCAATTGTTATGAATTCAGTGCTTTTTCCTCACTTGCATTTCTTAACAGTACCTCCATATTCTGAAAATGGCAGTACTAGGTAAAGATTTGACCTGAAAACAGTTCAGTAGCCCATGTCTGCAAATGATTGTTCTGGATTTGAATGGCCTTTTTTGCTTTGCAGAGAGGCAGCACGTGAATGTCGCAGGAAGAAGAAGGAATATGTGAAATGTCTAGAAAATCGAGTGGCTGTGCTTGAAAACCAAAACAAGACACTGATTGAGGAGTTGAAAGCACTTAAGGACCTTTACTGCCACAAATCAGATTAATTTTGGATTCTCGTTTTCATTTGTCCAGAATGGGATAGAGACTGGTTCTGGCTATACCCAGAAAGACAAAGTAAACTTTTTATTTTCTAAACATTTCTTTTTTTCTATGCGCAAAACTGCCTGAAGCAACTACAGAATATACTTCATCTGTGCTTTGCATCAAACTGTGAATGTTCAAGTACTTGCCTCCACTTCTCCCCTTACAAGATGAATTTCATCATCAATCTCAGCGTGAAGAAGAACAGGCTTCTTTCTCGTCTCCCCATCCTCTTCAAGGAGTAGCAATGGTCACTTGGGAAGTTATTGTGGGGACGGTCCTTTTGTAGTGATGTCAAGAATTTGTGCTGAGTTCTTTCCATTGCCTTAGAGACAGAACCACCCCAGCCTCCTGCTCCAGCAAACTGTGGGCCACGTAGGTGGAGCACACATGGTGCAATGAAGAAGCAATGGTTGCCAAATTGGTTTCACACAGTCATTGTGAACTATACAAATACACAGCTAAGCAGCATGCCAAATGAAAGGCTTCACTGGCACATCCTTGGTGTGGAGATAACACCTTTTTATTCAAACTAGCCCAGGAGGGGGTTTGATTTGTAATCTGTGTTAAGCCCTCCTGAACTAGTAAAACCTTCTCCATACCTCGGAAACAAATGCATTGAAATGAGCTTCACTGGTCGGTTGTTGCTTCTCATAGCTTATGTGTGCAAGTGTGTTCAGCATTCTGAATGCACAAAAAGCAGAAACCAACTCCGTAGGATATAGGTTGAAAGATGATATTTGGATGGGAAAGGAATTCAGAATAAAAAAGAGACAATAGTGACATTATGAAAACAGTAAGCAAGGGTAGCACATGGAAGCACTGCCTATTTGTATGCAGAACAACTAAGAAGTTGAAGCCAACTCCACATAAATACTCCCTGATGACAGTGTGGTCTGTGTCCCGAGTCCTCTCAAGCAATGAGGTTGTTTCTATTTCCTTAGCACGTGTCTTATGTAATGGAAATTATTGTACTCAATGGAAACATCAGCCTGGTTTGCTAAATTATTTTTCAAACTTGGAGGCTGCCTTCCATATGTAAATTAAATTGTAGTTATGTCAACTACTGAGACAACCTCAAATACTGAAGAGGACTTCGCAAGGAACGATACTGATTCTTTGAACCTGGACAGGTTAGCTAAATTCTTAATTCATTCAGGGTATTTTTTCATGTAAAGGGTCTGATTTACAGAGTAATTTATTCCTGCAACTAAAATTACTCATGTGCCTCAGATGTTTGCAAGATTAGTGTTTCTGTGTGCACTGAGGAACTGGGATCTTTTCCAGATTTACGTTGTTAAAAAAGGTAGTTCATGTTTAAAAACAAGTCTGTACTGAACATCAGGACTTCAAAAGAATCATGCTCAAAAAGAACCAAAAAAGAACGTCAAGAAGTTGTCAAAAAGAATGTATAAAACAGAATCATGTGTAGTTGTTTACTGGCTCTTTGGAGCCAGTCTCTTGGTATGTTAACTTGGGTCATTTGATGGAGTAAGTTTACTTTGCGCTTCTGGTCAAATTGTTACCTATAGAAACATATGAATAAGGCTCTGGTCTGTACTAATGCCTTGCCTAACGGCGTATTAGTTAATATTTTTACCCTTTCACTTTGTTTTTAAGATAAATTTCACACACAAGCTTCTAAAAGATTATACAATCAGTGTGATGTTATAAGAAAAATATTTGGAAGACTCTGGGCAGTTGAGTCTCAAACACCTAAGCAGTATTAAAAGTTGATGATTTCTCATTTGAGAGGGCATTCAGTTTCCAAGAGACTTAATTTAAAAGGAGCAAGGTTAAACTTACAGCATTATTGTTAACTTCAGAGTTATCAAGAGTTTCAGATTAAATTTGTATTTCAAGAAGAGAACGTAAGTATCAGAAATATGAAAGAATTCATTTTCACAAGTTTTGAGGGGTTTATAAATGGTCTATTTTTATCTGCCATAGAGAGTTAATTTTCATGTTCTTATTTAATGGGAGATAAATTTATTAGTTTAGCAATGCAAATTTAAGGAAGACCCCAAATTCTCAGCAATGCTTGTATAAAAATGATCTGATTCCTAAAGTGAGTGAATAAATGAAACGGTTACATTTTCCAGAAATAGTGCTGAAGTAGAAATGTTGATAATGCAGGAGTCATTCTTGTAAAACATGAACAGTGGCCTCATTTACAATTACATGGAATGATTCCTCCAGCTTTAAGAAACATGGAAAAGGCTGTACATGTCCACATTAGGGCTGCGTTTTTTTGTAGAACACGTGTTTGCAAAAACGTGAGGTTTTGCTGTGAACGTGAATGAGGCGAGCTGTGATCTGAGAGCTGTGGCCAGTGGGTAATGGACACTGTCTCGTGCTTGCTGATAGTCACTGGGAGCTGAATGGACATGGGAGCCTGAAATGGTACCCAGACGGAATTCTCCTGATACAGGGTTGATGCAGATTTGTGCAGCAGTGAGAGGAGAACTGTGTTACCCGTTTGCCTGTGTGTGTTCTGCAAGTGGCCTGTAGAGTTATTAGTCTAGACCTCATTAGCAAATAACGTTTCACTAAGAAAAAGATGTTATTTTAAAGTACATAGGGATCTGCTGGAATCGTTATTTTTATTTATGCTGCACTGAGGATTTAGGGATGTAAATTTATTTAATGGAAATTTTAAGTGACAGTAATAAAAAATTAATTAGGCCAAGTACAGGGCTGGCTAGGCTACCCCATACATGCTTTACTGTTCATATTGACCCAGAAAGGGAAAGAATATGACACAGGAATCCATTCCTATGTTATTTACCGAGTAGTGAGGTTGGGGTATTAAGCTTCTATAAACTAAGGCCATTTGGAAGTTTTGGAAGACAGAAATTATGCTGGACGGGGGGGAAGGGTTAGTTTTATATCTCACAATTGTGAGTTTTCAAGAACTGATAGCCTGTTTTACCTGAAGAGAAGGTTAGAAAGGGCTAGATCCATTATGTTCATAATAAACAAGAATTGGTTTGAAATATAGTTTTTGTAATGTCATTATTTTGCAAAACAACAGCACCAATCAGGCAGTTAAGATATTGTCAAAGGTGCTCTTTTAATTTAGATATTCTTGGAAAATACATATGTATAATATATGTACATATATATATATATACACAGTATATAATCTACAGCTCTGAGAGCTTTTAAGTCAGGAATGCTGAGTATTATAGTATATGGAGGTCAGAAAAAAATTTTTACTTTTCTGTGTGTGTCTGGGTGTGTGTGGATGTGTGCGCGTGTGTGAAAGCCTCCCCCCACCCCAGGAGCTCTGGGCTGCGTTATTCTAGCGCTTATTGCTGATCTGTTTTGTTCTGTTTCTCAGTTACCCATTTTCAAGAATTTTATTTCATCTTCCATGGCTTTTGTGAGGTTTGTTTTTTATTGATGGAGATTTTTGAAATTATGTCAACAGTTGTTTTACAACCCCCCTCCCAGAATAATTCGCTTTTGTGCTTTTTCTCTTTGGCAGCTATATATCAAAGGCAAAACATTTGGAAAGGTTGTTAAGGTGTTATGTTCTAAAGGAACCACTGGTAAGACTTCTGTTTTCCTCCCCGGGTAGTGGCGATACATTTTTATTTAAGCAGCAATTTCACCAGCATCGGTAGTTGCCGGCACCGTGGCTTGTGCCCGAAAGCACAATTTTAGCCTGTCATGCTTGTCAGGACTGTACAGACACACCTGTAGGTTCTGGCTGTCCTGTACTTGGCGTTTGCATTGTAGACCACTCTCTTCTCCGGTACTTGTACGTTGGTCAGAAAATCGGAGGGGTGTTTGGAATCATTAAGAGGCTCAGGAAAAAAAAAAAAAAAAAAAAAAGATTTAATAAGGAAAAACAGCCCTGATAGTTTCTGACCTAAACTTGTACCACAGGTTTGTTTTCTTTAAATCTGGGCTTCCAGTAAACTGCAGCTGCAAGTAGTCTTCTGTTAGCAAAAACTGGCCCCTGTTTTTTATTTTGGTGTTTTTTTTTTTTTATTTACAGCAGATAGACAGTGCTTTTTGTGGATTAAAGAAAGTCTCCCCATCAAAGCAAGTTCAATATCAGTGGTTGTAAATCTGTGACAATTTGTAGAGGATTTAATTGGTTTTTCTTAGACCTTATTTTTATTGTTATTTTTTCACCTGAAGCTGGTTAGTGATGTAACATTTGCCAATGATCCAACCAAAAGGTCATGTATTTATTTTTGTTACACTATGTTCTTTTTAAATGTTTAATTAAAATGTGCACTTTTTAAAACCAAACCAAACCACAGAGAACAACAAAAAAAATTAAGATCAATTGGGTTTGCTTGAGTAGCTTCCTGGCATAATCATGCTGCCTGCACACAATTCACTTCTCTCCCCACAGCAGTTGACTCCTTGGCTAATTTAACTTGTGGATCAGCACCTGGTGCTCAGCAGGCATTGCTTCAGAATGGCAGCAGACCTGAAGGGGCAGCACTGAAGGCTGGAAAGAATCAAGTGTGTGGTGTCTCAGAGCAGTACGTACAGGATGGATGTGAAATTATTTTTAGAGTAGAACTAGTTCAGTGATCCCATGGGGGAAAGGGAGGTTAATTTGGAAGGAAAGCTAAACTGTTTTTCAGCAACTTTGTTCCCCTTTTCTTAATTTGAGATTTGTCTGCAGATTTCACAAGCTGCATTCCAAGAAAATAAATTGAAAGGCTTTCCAGTTCTTTGACACCAGGAAGTAAAGGTACATTGACAAAGTGTCACTCTGCTTTAAAAGAAAAGAAAAGCACAACCACCTTTCTTTTGCAGGAATGATGATAATTTAGGTGTAACCCTAAATCTGTTATTGTGAGCGGGCTTTAAAAAGCACACAGTACTTTGATGATTCTCTGTAGTCTGCCTGAGAAGTCTTTTTCCTGAGCTGTGTAATTTGCTAGCTGTAAAAGACACTGATTTTGCAAAAGCCTGAATGTATCATGAAGCTCAATTGGTCTGGAAGGAGCTAGACTAATGAAGAGAGGGTGCTGAAATCTACCTGCTGTCTGCTTGTGACAGGTTCAGGTCTGTGGATGGATATGGCTTAGGTCTGCACATCTTTGGGGAAAAGGGACCAGATCCATTTGGTAAAGAGGGGGCTTGCATTTCAAGTGTTTTTCTTGGAATGCGCTTTTTAAATACGTTTAAGCTGTGGCCTGCAAAGAGATGTGCTTGGACTAGTTGGCATGGCACATACTGAAGACAGTGACCTGTTTGCTCTGGCACTGTAGGTGCAGGTTTGTGGCTTGCTGTGTGGTGAGTTCAGGGCTCACTTTCCCCAGGGGAAGGCAGGAGCTGTCCTGGGAGCTGTGTGCTGGCAGGGCAGGGAACAGGGACGGGCTGTAATGACCCACGGTTGGTGCACTCCATAAGCTGAGCATTTACTGTGCTCACGACTTGGGAGCAGTCGGTTCACTCAGCCTCAGCTGTGTATTTCTCTAAATTAGGGGATAGCTGAGTGAGAGCATGGGGAAGGAAGGTCTTGAGCCAGTTAATTATCCGGAAATGGCCGATCTTAAGAACTAAGGATGTTCAGATGCTCTCCACAAGTTGTGTTTTATCCAGGTGCCACTCCATTTTTTTTGTGTGTGTAATTACATTTATTTATATTAAAACATTAATTTTTAAACTTCTAGAACTTCAAGTTTGAATGAGATTTGAAACTGTGCTGCTTATATGGACTTCTTGGGATGGGGAACAGGGCAAGAAGAGGTGCTTGTTGGCAGCAGCCCCTCCATAGACTTTTCCCCAGATTGGCTGTTCACTTCAAAAAGGAGTTTTTTCTATTCTGGATTTATAATTTGAAATTGTTTTGGAACAGTGTTTTTCAGGGAAGCTTCCAGAGCGAGGGTTATTATTCTCCCTTTGTAGTGTAAGCTGGAAAGAGTAAGTTCACCTCATCTGCATTTCTGATTCTTTTCCCAAACCATGTCAGCACAGAACAGGGTAGTTGAGCTTGACTTCCACGTACTTGTGGAAGTTAAAAGACTAAATGAAAACCCATTACTGGGGGAAAATAAATTTTTTTTTTACATCTCCCCAAAAACCTAGAAACATCCCTGTTGTGTTCTGGGTTTTTTTGTTGGTTTTTTTTTTTTTTTTTTTTTTACTTATTTTTTTGTGCTTTATCTGTGTTTAAAGAAATTGTACTGGGTTATAATGCATTTTATTAACACTATGTACATATTAGCTGCTTTGTGTTTCAGAATGGTAGTAATTGCTTTGTATATTAAAGTGATTCTTGTGAATTTGTGAATTATTGTCATAAAAAAGTGCTTTTTCTTACTGTAACCTTTGTGGTATAAACTGTCATAACTCCCTTTTTACACAAACATTTATGTGCAGTCACATAAACATGCTTTAAAAAAACTCTGCAAAGTCTCTTTTTTGAGCAGGGTGTTCCATTTACACTAATTTAGTGGCAAATGGTAGCTAGGTACGGACATGGGAAAAGGCACATTTTGAGCTGACTGTGGTGTCCTCTCATGATCTGTGGCCTGTTCTAAGTATTCATGAGGTATTCTCCCCAAGGAGAAGGCTTTTTTAATCTTGATTGAATTAGACTAGTGAGGGGTTAAGTCCTGAAAAACAATGTTTTTCTTCCACTTCTGGTATTTTTAAACTTGCTTTTCAGCATCCATTCTGGTGGCAGTTAGTTCTGTTTAGTAATGTCTGAAAGACTTATGTTCACAGTTAAAATATGCTGTATTTCTCACTTTAAGCATTTCTGTAAACCATGCACTACTGATGTTAAGAACAGAACAGAAACAGAAACAAGGCACTGCAAGGATCACAAGCCAGTTATGTAATCTGCAAGGCTGGATCCAAACACTGGGATGAAAGCCAGGAGAACAAATTCAGCAATGAGGTAAACACACCTCCAGTGAAATCAAGGGGAAAGCCGTAAGGTCAGCTCATTACAGCTGGGATTTTGTGGTTTTCACAACTGAGCGTTTTCAGAATGCCATTCACGTACTTGCTCAGAAAAATCTACACCTCAGTAATGAGGGAGAATCCCATACAGGGGTTAGTCTATGAGATAAAAATGCAGATTAGCTGGAATTTTGCACTAAAAAGTGGGTAACACAGATCCCTGTGCAGTCAGTAGGTCAGCTGCTTAACCTGAGCCTTCTGACACTGATGCACCTCAAAGCTCTTGGTCACTAAGTTACAGAGCTGAATTTCATACCATGTTTCTTAATCAAACATTATTTTAGTTGCAATGAGATTTTAGGAAAAACTTGTTTCTTGCAAAATAGCATGTTTCAGGGATGGTTTTTCAGCCTCACGGCCTGTTCATGTCTTATCTTGTCACTCTCCTGTGGCTTGAATCTACTCCCTAGAGTGAGTAGATTTTCGAGACTGTGTATGGGTTGCCCAGGGACCAATGCCCAAACACATCCTCCCTACAGATGAGCTCACGTCGTCTGTTACCAAACAGGACCAATGCACTAGAACCACCCAAAGGAGAGAGTGATTCTTGAGCACTGGGGTGAACAGGGTGACAGAGAGTGCTTGGGCAGGGTATTGGTGTAGCTGCCAAACAGCCAGTCGAGCATTACCTTGCATCATCTCATGTTAGAGCAGGAGCTCACCTGGGACCAGTGGGCTGGGACACCAGAGTTTGCAGGTGTCACTGCAGAGGGCTGCTCTCTCTGCTCACTCACCAGCTGTTACGGCTCTGCTACTTCTGTCCTGCACCTCTGGCATGATTCAGTCCCAGCACGATTGACTCCTGACCTGTCCCTGAAGCTGAGTGTGAAGGGAAATCAAGACATCTGTGAAGCCCAACCTGGAACAACAGAAGGCACTGCTAGGTGCCTGGTGCAGGTGAGTGTGAGCACTGCCCAGCTGGAATTGACATCAGGTTTCAGCTGAGTTACGTTCAGATGGTTGGTGCCTCCCCCTAAACACTGGCTTTAAAAGCAACCTCAGCTGATACACACATGGTGGTGGGGGCCTAACTGCAGTATTCCTGGATCTG